ATGACGCACCAGACGCTTCCAACGCTCGCCTCAAACCGACTCGAGAATCATGTTCGAGGCTTTGGGCCAAAATGCAAAACGCACACATTTAACATGGACTCGCTGAGTAAAATGACGGCTCCGGCTGCGGCTAAGTTTAGGTAAGAATCTGGAAATGAATGGAAAAACTTTAGTGCTAAAAAAAGGGCTTGTTGATGTCCATGTGTGGGATCTGTCTATATCTGTGAAGGGGATTCGTTCAAAATATTCAGAAAGGAGGCGGAGAGAATACATGAGTCTCTAAACTTTGTATAAACTGCCAATTTCTACAAGTTTTATGTTTTTTTTTTGGAATTAGATTAGGACTGAACTTTGCTGTTTTTCTGTGCCGAGGTTCCCGGACTAAAAGCCGCTCCAGGTTATTAGTTATTTTATTAATTAATCATTGAAATCATATTGAAAAATGTAGCTCAAAAGTCTCTTGTTAAGAAGTGAGCCACAGTCTGTCTCTTAAATCTTCCAGTGAAAGCAGGAAAGTAAGGAGCAATATCTATAGGCAAGGCAATTTTTTCACCTTTTCAAAACTTGTGACATATTTTGCTTTGATAATTGATATTTGTATCTTGTTTTGTGCAGGTTTTGAAATAAATAACAAAGAAGCTAACTATAGCACAATTCATACACAAGGCAGAGTGCATCTATCTACCCAAACTCTTTTCACTTTCATGTCTGTAGAGAACCACAAAACTATTTATATGATTTTCTTTCTAGTGTTTTTCAAAATGACAAATGTGCAAAAAATGACATATTGACTCTTTATAACATTTAATTGGACCTCTGTGGACCACTCAATTCTCTGGGTTTTCTGATACTTGGCAAATAATAATTAAGTTAAAGGAGCAGTTTGTAAACATGTGGCCAAAAGTGGTACTGCAGCCTCTCCCACTCTCCCTGACTCAGGTTGCCAGATATGCAGACGAATCCAGCTGGGACCATAACAGCTGAATAGACAAGAGTTTTGTCAACAACAAATCTATAACCAACACCTTTTTCACAAAGATAGAAATCCTGGTTTTATTCCTTGTTTTGTCGTTAATGATTTGAGAATCATAAAGAGACCGTTTTTAGTTCTGCGCCACATGGTACTTTACCAGTGAGATTAGCTCCACGCGGTGAGTTCTGGTGCCCGGTTCACAGACTTTCTGATTGGATATAAGGTGAAAATGTTGTTGAAAAAAGCAGAAATGTAGTTTTGAACCTAAAAGATTAAAAAGAACAACTATTTTAGACAACATGTGATGCAGTCAATATAACGGCTTTTAGATTCAAGGTTTTTATCTTTTTATGTTTCACAGCCATTTTTTTCTCATTTTATCTTAAATTCTCATTATTATTATTCATAACTACTTCCATTTTTTTCATTATTTTAATTCTATTTGTATTCTTTTCGATGTGTTTTATTTCAAATGTATTTATTTATTTTTATACTTTTCATTCATTGCTCCCCTTTTATTTTTTTACATTTTAAAATTTTTATTGGCATTTTTGAGTGATTCTTTGTTAAGTTATCTCCAAGCAGGATTGAAACGTGCTATACAGATAAAGTGGACTGAACTTAAAATTAATCTTTAAAACAATATATTACAACAGTTATTTGTGAACGTTTTAATGAAAAAAATAATGTTTTTATGCACAAAAAAAGCGATCGCAGCAAACCAGGAAGTGCTATTATCATGAACTGCACATTACAGGACACATCTGCAGAGGATCTGATTATGGATATAGGTTCAGTATATACATAAGTACCTCAGCGCGGATGTTCAGAATTCTTTGTTCAGTTTTCATGTAGTTCCAGAGCCTAATAGAGGCTCCGCGAAAACAAACAACTGAGCATGAGCAGCTGCGAGCATCAGCGCCGATGATTGACAGCCCTTGGCATGACTCGATTGGTTAACCTCGACGGCACCGTGGATTCTGAACTATAGCTAAGAGCAGGGAAGGCGGGACTTGCCCGCAATATTAGAATTAATAAAATGACTTATTTTATATCAACATTTAAGGCCAGGAGGTCAATTTAACACATTTCCTAAAATTTGTAATTAATTTAGAGTTACAGACTATCACTTTAAATCTATCTCTGAAGAGAACTTTCAAAGCTGCAGCAGTAAAGACAACGTTTGAACTGTGTTTTGGCAGTTTTGTTCCACTTCAAATCTATAAATGATATCAATAATATTAATATTATTAATAATTTTAATGATATTAATGTGTTGTTTTTTTACAGACAGCTTCAGAAAATTGTCCAAGACATAAAGAAGAACGACGGCAGCCTTTTGGACAAACTGAGAAGGTGATTTTATGAATCATTTATGAAGGATTTCCACAGAAGACAAAACAAATGCAGCATAGAACAGCTGTGGTCTCTCTCTGGTCTCTCTCTCTGGTCTCTCTCTCTGGTCTCTCTCTCTGGTCTCTCTCTCTGGTCTCTCTCTCTGGTCTCTCTCTCTGGTCTCTGTCTCTC